CTAAAAATAGAAATTTGTGAAATTCCTTTAAAACGCTACTCCTCCTACAGTTTTGGTCCGATTTCAATATAACTTGGCACACAAGTAGACTACACTAAGATACATAATTTAGTGCATCGGTTTTTGAATTCGATGGACGGTGTTGCCATGGTTACTAAAAATAGAAATTTCTGTGAAATTCCTTTAAAACGCTACTCCTCCTATAGTTTTAGTCTGCTTCTAATATAATTAGGCATACAAGAAGACTATACTAAGATACATAATTTATTGCATTGGTTTTTGAATTCGATGAACAGTGTTGCCATGGTTACTTAAAATAGAAATTTCTGTGAAATTCCTTTAAAACGTTACTCCTCCTACAATTTTGGTCTGATTTCAATCTAATTTGGCACACAGTTAGAATACACTACGATACATAATATGTATTACTTTTTTTATATTTGGGTGAATGGTGTTGTCATGGTTACTAAAAATAGAAATTTCCATGAAATACTTTCAAAACGCTACTACTCCTAGTTTTCATTTGATTTCAATATAACTTGTCACAAAAGTAGACTACATTAAGATACATAATTCTATTTATTGTTGCATGTTGCAATGTTTCAAATCCAAGTGCTACTTTTCTTTTGTTATACAAACAGACCAGTAGAGGTACAGTCTCATCTGAGACTTCTGGTTTCATGGACTTTCAGAATATATTTACTATATTTGTCACAATATAATGAAAGAATTCATAAAAAATTATTTAATAGATATTTCAGAACCAGCATAAAACATTTTACTGTAAAAAACAGCTCTGTGTGCAACCAGCATGGAAAAATAGGAATCTAAACATAACAGTACTGTATAAATTTCAAAAGGGAAAAATTGATCATTTTCTCCTAAAAAAAACCTTCCGCCACAAAATATAGTTCCTTTCTTAATCCTATTTTAATGGAATTCTTTTCGCAGTTTTTTATAGAATAAAGATTAATTTGCATCGTAGAATCCAGATTTAATGTTTGAACTTAAAAATGATGCAGAATTTTATAAATAAAGGTCCAGACCAAAATCTGCTCAAAAGCTCAGGATCGAACCTCCTTAATATGTGTGGGAGATATGGGTTCTAGGAACAGATAAACAACAGAAAAAGGAATGAATGATTTAAATGTGACCTTCCAAAACTCTAAAAATTAGAACTTGAAGACTCTTATATGAAAGCGATATTTTGTAGTGGACATAGTGATGTGGAATATACTTGGGAAACACTGAACTTTCTGCCTCCTTCTACTTTTAGTTACATTCCACGGGATACTTTAATGAAAGTGACAAAGAATATACTGTGATCAATACATTTTTAGGAGGAAAAATTTATTTGGCCAAATTGGTGAAATTAATTGTGTCGTATAATCTGGGAAATAAAAAAGTTACAGAATTTAATTGACTTTGTAAGACATTTGTATTCAGGAATAATTGTGCCAACGTTGACATTTCAAAAACAGCGTAGCTGCAATAATGTAGCCCTCTCCGATATTTTTAATCCGATATTTTCAGGAGAGGGCTACAATTCCACTGCATCTCCGTAATGGTGCAAATATATTTTTTAGATACGGGCGACTGCAGGCAAAATAAATTATTTTTGCATTCAACTTACTTCCAATGAGACGGAATTTTTATTCACTATCAACATCTTAGCCCTTTATACGCGAAAACCAAGTAAAATAAATCTGCGTGTTTACCAGTCGTTCTCCTCAGCAGCCATGACATTCCTCGCGTGATGTACTGAGACTTGCGCTTGAAATTTAGAATCACTTGATAAAGTAAATGTCGGTGTTGATAAATGTTTGTGTTGTATGATATCACTAAACATCGATAAATAAAAGCATTCCATGGGATATTTTTTTCATAAACAGTGATATTTATGCTTAAAATACGGGAAATCCTAAACGATCCGCTCCCTTAGATCCCGAATTCTCATTGGTTGTCCCAAAATAAAATCGATCAAGGTCAGTAAACATGGCGGATAAATTCAAGTTGTGATGTTGACATACACGAAAAATAACCGATATACGGATTGTTCTGTATATTTTTGGATCAGTTCATGTCTTGCATAACTACATTTTATGAGTTCAGGTAAGATATGTTAAAAAAATACCCACTTACTGATAATTTGAGCCGAAATCTGTGCGGTAGTGAATCACTCCCGCATTTGCACCATTACTGTGATCCTAAGGAGTTGTAAGCCTCTCTCAACAAAAAAAATCGGAGAGGGCTACATTATAGCAGCTACAAACAGCGTTGTACCAACGCTGAACCAACGTAATAATTATATTTTGAACTGAGGTCCAGCGTAGGGCCAACGTTACAAAATATTTCGTTAGCATTGGTATGTTGGAATAATGTTGTACCAACGTTGACATTCAACAAAAGCGTTGGACCAACGTTGGACCAACGTAATAATTATATTTTGAACTGAGGTCCAACGTTGGGCCAACGTTACAAAATATTGAGTTGGCGTTGGTATGTTGGAATAACGATGTACCACCGTTGACATATAAACAAACAATGTTGTACCAACATAGGCCCAACATGTTAGGCCAACGGCGCGCCGATGAGCAAAAGGACATTGGGCCAACGTAAATTGCCTACATTGGCCCAACACTGTTGGGCCAATGTCCTCATGCTATCTGGGCATGTATTCCAATACCGCGAAACAATGAGACTCTCCAATTTTGAAGGTAAATAAGACTTCCTGTTTTAAAATAGACCACAAATAAACGAAAATAATTTAATTTTGTTTGTATTCTAGCCTTAGCCTCTGATTGGTTAATATCCAAAAAGGACCAGCTGAATCATCTGTATCCATATAGTCCTCTCATTTCCAGTCCTAGGGATTCATGGAAAATTTCAGATTTAATAAATGTACCTTTAACTTCAAACAATAATTCGATCTTACCATATGTAAACAAACAGCAAGGCTGCTAGGCCTATGTATCAGTTTTTACCTCCCTATGCTTCCCATCACTTCCGTTACCACGGTAGTATTATTGAGCGGCAAATTTGAACTAATAAAAAGCAACAAAATTTTAATTTTACACTCATAGTTATTTAATGATTATAAATTAAATTATAAGGAATGACTCTAATTCTTGGCCAAATTATTCGAGTATAACCTAGTTTGGGTCAGTTTACGCTGTTTTATAATCCGCTTGGTTTGGGTCAGTTTACGCTGTTTTATAATCCGCTTCGCGGATTATAAAACAGCGTAAACTGACCCAAACCAGGTTATACTCGAATAATTTGGCCAAGAATTAGAGTCATTCCTAAAATAATTTTCACTAAAAATAGCCCATTGTTAGGTTTATGAATGGCATTTTATGAGATGTTAATAAAAGTAAGAATTTGGAATAACTTTTTTACGCAAAAGTACGGCGATTTTCTGAGACACCAGTATATACCAGTGACGCAATGATATATTACATATGGCATGAAAAGTCTTGCAGTACTGGTATTTCAAAGCTCTAGGTCAAACATGACTAATACATCAATCAAAAGACAGTTTGCATTATTATTAAACAATCGAAAAGATGAAAAGATAAAATTACACTTGCTCGTATATGACCTGTTTGCAATATATTATAGCTAAGTTCAGTCTACCACTGTCTCAAAATGAGAATGTTTTTATTGTTGCTGATAAAAGTTATGTTTGTATCTATTAGATTGTTGTTTATTTGCTTTACATTCATACCGTCACGGTAGCTCAGTCGGTAGAGCGCTCGCTCTGTGATCGGAAGGTCGTGTGTTCGAATAACGGCTCCGACTGACCTACATGTAAGTCGATAAAAAATAGGTAGCAACTGTTCCTTCGCCAGGCGCTCGGCACTCTGAAGTGAAAGTTGCGGGTTCTTCGGATGAGACCTTAAAAACCGAGGCTCCATGTCACGGTAGGCGTTGGCACGATAAAGAACCCTCACTGCTCAATGGCCCTCAGTGCCGAGTAAAGGCCTTCTCCGGTATATGGTGACGTGTCGATATCAGTGAAAAACTCTCAAACGGGACGTAAAACAACATACAATCAATCAACAATCTTTACGTTCATTGGAGAGTACTTCAGTGAAGTTTGATAGGCTGGAAATTAGGATCTATTCTTGTACTCATGGCCATTGGCCAGTGAAGGGTATTTTTCGGGACAGTGACTACTGCAATACGGAACCTCGGTTTTTGTAAATAAAGAACAAATTAAAAATGCCACCTACAGAAATACCAATTATTCAGTACTAAATGTTCCCATATTATTCATGGCTTAGTGGCATCTCATAGTAGATGAATGCTAAATAATCAAGGAAAGATATTCGATTTCAGAATCTTTTTTCTGCCTCATTTCTAATTATTTTCCCTTACATTTTGAGATTTCATAAAATATTCTTGTAATTCTAAGAAAACCAAAAATATTTTATCTGTCTATGGAAGATTACATATTGTATCTCCATGTACAAACTGTACAGATTGTTTCTTTCTTCTGGGTTGGGGGATGACTTGGGGTGTTCGTGTTGTTGTTATTGTATTGCCTGTCTTACCCATTCAATATTGCGTCATGTTATAATTTGCTGTTAATTATGCACTAAGCATTGTGTCCAAGAAAACACCCCCAGGTGTTATTCAAGTGCATAAAGTTGAATGTTTCTTGCAAGGTTTCATTGAGCCTAGATTTTCTACTCTAAAATCAATACCGGTACTGGTAAAGTTTAAATTGTAAGAATTACCGGTAACACAAAACATTTTATTTGGATTTAATCTGCTGAACTTAAAACTGATATTGAGCATAAATGAACTATAACCACGATAAAATCAGACAAAATTGCCTTTGAAGACATCGTTAACTCAAAAAGGTTATCATTCGTAAAATTTTGGGTGTTTTCCCTTCAGCCTAATTTAATTATTAATTTACTGAAGGGACATAATGTCAAAATTATCTGCAAAATGTATTGCACACAACTGGATTGTACAAAAACAAAAAGAAATATGGAAACATATCTTTATTTTCTTTTAATTAGTACTATATTTAAGAAATAATTTAAAAAGTTGAACAAGGTCAATTAGTTACACCCAGGACTGATTGGTATGCGAATGTGAATTGTATCTTGTTAAAATACTGTGGGATCTAAGGAGTCTTTCAGACGTCCTACAGAACAGAGCTTTCAGACCACGTCTGAAGTAAGCTCCTGTCAGACTATACAAGAAAAAATTAATGCAATAATTTGCGTAAAAAATAGTACGCGTTATGTAGAGAACTCCCCGCCAGTAGTCCACTTTGTATGACGGTTCATGAATCTGATTTGAAATGTATTTGGAGTGGAAGAAGTTCCGGATCCACATGATAAGGAATGGTATGTTGAATACTACGAAGCAAAATGAAATCACAAATAGAATTGAAGTAAATTCTAAACGCACTAATGCTTCCTCTGATAGAATTCTTGTCTTTTTCTGCTTTCGTTTTCTGGCAAAGAGTCTGTTGATGATGAGAAAATTCATCACTGAGATGATTGTAAAAGGTATAATGGTGATTAAAAGACCGTATATACTGTCAACAATGAACGATTCAAGGCTGTATTTCGGATACGTGGTACAATATTTATTCCCATTTCCACTGATGAAAACTCCAGTCAGGAATGGTTTATACAGAACAAGTGTTAGAGACGTAACAAATATGCCAATCACTATTCTACGGGCACTACTTACAGTGCATATATCAATCCGCCGAAGTGGATGGCAAACACCAATGTACCTCTCCACCGTGAAAGCAACCACTAGCCAAACAGACGACATTCGTGACACATACGAAGTGTACATTTGAAACTGACATAAATAATCAGTATCCACAAAGCTAACTTTCCACTCAGGCTGTAAGTAAACTAATCCTCTGCGAAACCATTCAACCATGACGTAACAGAGCAGGGTCACAAGATCAGTAGCAGACAAGGCAGCAAGATAAACACTTGCTGAAAGGTTTCGCATTCCTTTAGACATAAACACATTAAAGGACAGAGAATTTCCTATGAAGCCAACGATGAGAATCACTGGTGTAAAATAGGCGTAAAATGTCCTCCCTGTTTTGTAGATGATAGGGTACTCACCCTGTTCTAGTGGTGGCCAGCTCAAAGTGTAGTTGAAAGAAAAGTTGCCGTTTTGCATATGTTGCAGCACAGCATCGTATATGCTTTGAGTAGTTTTCATGGCAAATAAATCTGAAATGAAAAAAAAAACCCTACATTAATTGCCATTAAATTTTACATCTGATCATTTAAGAGAAGCTATCTGTGACCATTGAGAATTATCTTTAAAAAAGTGGAAAGTGAAAAAATCACAAATCTGAAAGAAACTTTCACACTTTTGTGCATAGTGATAGTAAATTATAAAGAAGTAAAAAATACGGGATTTGTGCATCGTGTTACAACGGAACGTGCCCACAGATAATTCATTAGATGTTGTATTTTTCAACCTTTTCAAAATTATTTACAATAAAACAAATTCCCAACAATGTACATCGACAGGAAATTCGAGAAAACACATAGATTTTTATATTTATCTTCAAAAATACATATATTCCTCCTTTTTCTTTCAAATGTGTCATCAATGAAGGTCAGAAAAGAGCATTTATAACTTCTTTTCAGACATTATTTTTTTCTGAGGCACAACGGGGTTATCATTAATTATACATGTCGTTTTTTAGACAGCTGCTTATGCTACCAATATAGTAAATAAAAACAGTTAAACAATTTACTCTTTTTATGTAAAAGCTAAAAACACTCTACACTAGTTCCTTCTATTTTACTTAATGATTATCCCCCTTGATGCGAACTCTCTAGAATTAAAGGAAATAATCAGTGCTTAGCAGACATCAACATGCAACAATTTCCTGAAAGGTAATGTATACATTTGCATTTTTTCCTGCAAATCAAGTTTCTCAGTTAATTAATAGTAATAATTTCAAATTCATAAAAGATGTCTTGATTTGCAGATGTCAGACCTATATATGTTTACATATCTGATATCAGCAGTCAAAAATCGATCATAACAAAATGCATGTCAGAGTATGAATATTGTATTTATTCAATAGATTTATTACATATACACCATTTAATAAAATATTTTGATGATTTTTTTTAAATGGGTTAACTTACTGATTACTGAAAATGAATATGATAAAGACATGTTAAATATGAACTTCTTGATCGTCATTTAACTTGTTTACAAATGTTACTTCCGAAATTAATCAAATTTTTGAGTAATTTTATCGCTTGTTTTCAGAATAATTATAAAACTGTATTTCCCATGTACATTTCAAGCAATATCAAGTAAAATATATGGTGAAGGCAGGCTGAGGACATCAGATGAGACAGTTAAATGTAACATACTACCAATTTCTCCATGTAAAAAAGACATATGGGACCACCTTTTCAAGTTTACTTTATCGAAGGAAAATAAACAAAGTAAAGCTGATTTGTTAAGACTGCGGTGAGGCTTTTTTGACCCAAATTTCAGCATTACTGTTTGCCCTGTGCATAGGGCAGAGTACGGCACAGAATGCCGACAATCATCTTTATGTATGGTGCAATTTCAGTGTGGGAAGGGAGGAAGTAAAAAACCACATAAAGCTTTGAAGAAGACATCTGTCAGCATTGAACAAAGCAAATTTATATTTGAGAAAGACAATATGTTTATTCCTGTTAACTCAGGTAAACTGCTGCTTCACAATTATTTTTATTTTATCAAAAATGTCAAGAATGCTATGAAGTAATTCAGACAAAAGTTGCTCAGATCTTTTAGTTTTTAAAGGATTTATTTGTTTTTTTATTCTTTCTTGAGAAAGTTATTTGTCACTTGTTACCATCAAGTCAACATCTTGTGAGACCTGGAAAACTTAAACATTATTGTATGCAAAAATATATTGATAATCAGTCATTTTTGTAGGAATATGTGAGAAGTGTAGAACAGAACTGCTCCAAAGAATGGAAGCTACAAAAGACAGTACTATAATGGTAAATATATTGCAGCGTAAATGCATGTATACTAGTTACCATATTAATTACAATATATCATTGTCAAATATATTGATTTCAAAAGAAGGTAAACATTCTGTTTAACAAATTATAATATGTACTGAGAAGTATTACACACAACACATAAAAATGTAAAAATCCTTTAATTAGAAACATTCCAAACTGAAATCGGTGAGCACACTATAAATTGTCAATTATGCATGTTTAAATTACACCACTGCTGTGTAAATGCTGAGCAGTTTTTTGTTGTCTTTGAGCGTTACAGCTCATCCATCAAACAAATACAGACCTGTACAAGTATAAGCTAAAAGGAGAGTGAAATAACAATGTACATATACACAATGTTATTTCACTCTCCTATATGTACATATATACAATAAAAACTTAATTTGCCAGATCAGGTGAAGTTAGGGGGATATTTATGAATGACCTAGTCAACTATAATATAGTCGTCGTGATATTCTCAAAGATATAAGATCAGTATCATCAAATAATAAGCTAAATTCACTGATGAAGAACAAATGATTATATTTGATTTTTATCTCACCTGAGCTATAAGCTCAAGTGAATTTTACTGATCACCTGTCATCTGTCTGTGTATAAGCTAATCACATTTTCTACTTCCTCTCCAAAACCACTCGGTCAATTTTGCCCAAACTTATCATCTTTGAGTAAAGGGGATTCAAAATTTTTCAAATGAATGTCATGCCCCTTTCTAGGGGAAAAATCAAAGAAACAGTAAAAATAGAGAGAGTTTCTTAATCTTTTTCTAAAGAACTGGTAAGGTAATATGTATATTCCTTAAATTATTCCAGGCTCAGAAAATGTACTCTGAAGTAGAAATGGATGCTGAGAGTAGTGTATCTTTCTTGGATGAAGCTAGGAGTGAACAGCCTAATAAGGTAAAGGAATGCAAACATAAAGCTAATTACTTTTTATATCCCCACCATGAAATGGTTGGGGCAAAGCTTGCCCCTTTCCTTCTGTCATTCCATTATTCTATCATTCTGTTATAGTTACTTTTCCAGACTTTCTAGCTCATCTGAGCTGAAAGTGAAAGTGGTCTTTTCTGATCACAATTTGTCTAGTGCCATCTGTCTGTCCATCCTAAACGTGAAATCTAACATATGCAATGACTATGTGTAACCCAAATCATTAGAACATGATTTTAACACCTACATGGATTTAGCTTCATGTAAATGACACAGCACATGGTACTGTTATATTGTCTTGATTTGTTTATTTTTTTTTCCAGGGACAAGTGCTTATGGACAGCCAAGGAGAAGATGAATTTTCAGTGACAGAAACAGCTTCCTCACAGTTTTCTTTGAATTCTGAGTGGAAGGATTCTCAGGAGAGGCCCTCAAGAAAAAGAAAAGCAGCACTGAATGAATTTTTAGCAGCAGTAGATATAAGCCCCATAAAAAAACTCTGAGTGTTGACTTTGACCTAGCTTCTGAGAATAATTATAGCTTCTAGCAATAACTTTCAATATTTCTTTATGCCGTCTTTGTCACGCACAAGGTCTTGAAGAAATATATTTAGCAGTATTCATTCATTAAGTTGACAGTATTAATCAAAACTTAAAGGTGCTTGGACACAGATTTGAAGTTAAAATTTTCTCAAATTTTCTGTATAATTTCAAGACATATATGTTACTATAGCATTTCATACTAAAATATAATAAAAATCTTATTTCATCTCGAAGTTATTAAAACTTCGAATTTCTTGATGCGTTGGATTGACGCATCCTTGCGCTTTAAGATATTTTAATTTTATTCTTAATACTTAAGAAAAGTGGCAATTTTGTTGTGTATTAATGAAAAATATTAAAACTATAACCCCGAAAATTCAGAGTAGAAATGTTCGAAAGCAAAACCCACTCACAGTATTGTAAGTCGTGCTCAGTTGTGTGTGCAGAGTTTAACAATTGAACACACCCGGTGAATCGTAAACATTAACAATAACAGAGCTCGTGCCCTGTTTACAAAAATAGTTTACATTTCACGGGTGTGTTCAATTTATTAAACTCTGTACACATCACAGAGCACGGACTGACAATACTGGTGAGTTTGTTTTGCTTTCGAACATTTTTACTCTGAATTTCCTGGATTATAGATGTAATATTTTTTTAATTAATACATAACAAAATCGCTTCTTTTCTTAAATATTAAGGATAAAGTTAAAATTTGTGTAAGTGCAAAGATGTGTTAATCAAACGTGTCCCGGAATTCGTAGTTCCAATAATTTCCAGATAAAATAAGTTTTTAAGTATATTTTCGTATGAAATGCTATTGCAATATATAAGTCGTGATATTATACAGAAAATTTGAGAAAATATTAAGTTCAAATCTGTGTCTATGCACCTTTAACCACATACTGTGTGTTTCTATGATATTTTACCATAGTAACCATATTTATTTTAAAAATAAATTGCTGTAGACTTTGTGCATAAGGCTAAGTACTTGTTTTGTTTGGGTATTTTTTTACTATTGGCATTTAGGTTTCATCACATTACACCTATCGTAAATGAATACTGAGCATTTTCAGCATGTAAATTGTATGCAAAACCATCATTTTAGAGATATCCAAATAATTTTTTGCAGCATAGGTAGCAACAATGTGTAATTGTAAGTGGTCAAACTGATTTTTTTTAGTATTTGTCATAACTTAATAAAGATTCATAGTAGAAAAAAAAATCTCAATTTTTTCAATTTTTCATCTGTTACCATGGCAACCAAGACATTTAACAACCAATTTTTTTTTATATTTGTTTCAGGTATGAAGTCATGTATTAATGAGCAGAGTTTCATCAAAATTGGTTATCATGCATGCCCAAGAAACTGCTTACTATGATTGGCTCTTAAACAGATTTTTGAAAATGTTGCTGAATTTTTTTAAAAAAAAAAAAAAAAAGGTCATTTTGGTCAGGTTAGGAACAAAAAACAAAAAGTTGTTTAACTGATTTTATTTTCAAAAATAGAAATCTAACATTTCTACCAGACTAAGTGTGTTGTGTCCCTGAAAAATGGTAGCTCAAAAATCGGTTGTTTTATTGAATTTTTTATTGTATAAAATGCAAGCTATTTTGGTTGCCATGGAAACCATGTTAAGTATGATATAAAAAAAATTGTATTTCATAAAAAAAATTATTTAAGCATTGTTGATTTACCTTAAACTTAAAGATAGAGTATCTCACAATCTTAATTGTATTTATTTTGCACTTAAAGAGGTATATTATTCAGTTTTTTTAAAGGCCTTGTTGCTTGTTACCATGGTAACAACAGAGTGATCAGTAAAATTTTATAAACTGAGTTTAAGTAACTTACTTATGTGTTTTTATTAATTTTATCAATAATGCTACATGTATATATAATGATAGGATTTTTTAATAAAAAAAAATTGCACTTTCCAAAAAATTCTCGATGATTACAGACAGATTCTCTTAAGCACATACAAATTAAATTGCAACTGGCATTTCTTTTTACCTAACTCCTTTTTCCAACTGATAGAGTAAAGACGTTATAAGCAAAATCAAATAATAGATTGTTTCATTGATGTTGATGCACACTTTAGTCAGGGATATTCAATCCAACTTTTCTGACACATGCAGGCGTAGGATTTTGTATTTGTTGTGTTCATGTAGCAGGTTGGAGGAATTATATTTTATTGACTTATTGTTTTATCATTCAATTAATAATACCAGTAAATTGGTTTCCAAGTTACCACACACATTCTGCTTTGTTAGTAATTATGTTTACCCTGTTGGATGTCACAGTCTGCTTGAAAACAAACATTTTTCTGTGCTCAAGAGGCTTGACTCAATATAGTTGTTAGTCTCCTCCCGAAAGCAACAATCCCCTAAGGATCAAGGGCTTGTCTCAAATTATATTTCTGAAAATCTACAAGGATTGTTCTAAAACACTGTTGAAAACGTAGATGCTTCTGACTAAGAAATAACGAAGTACATTAAGATTATAATAATTTGTATTCTTGCATGATTGGATCTAAAATATTCGTTAATTATAATATGGAAGTAGGTTTCGTAATCACTTTCGGGCAAAGTCTTTTATTTAATAAAGAGCGTCCCGCAAAGTAGCAGTCTAAAGAATATGCCAATTATCTGATATTTATTTGAGACAGGAAATTAAATGTAATGGGTAAGGCGTAGTCGAAAACCTAAATTAATGTAAAACCAGTGTCATTCTAGAACACAACAGAGATGCTTGTAAGATTTTTTGCATGATAATTAGACAGGTCTGTAACTTAGTAGATCGAACCTCATCTAAAATAAAAATTGATTTACTGTAATATCCCTGACTGCAAAACAATTATTATTAAAAACATTAATAAATATAATAGCATATGGTATTGTAAATGACAAAGGAAAATGATTCCATATCAATTAAAGCAGCTACTGTACATTTCATGGAAATAATAAGCATCATTTGATTGTTATAGATGTCTCCAGAATGTACATTGCACTTGGAGTAGTAATCTGAAATGAGGCTGCAAAATGAGATGGCATCGAGCTATTCGATATTTTTTCCGTTCATTTTATTAGTCTCATTATTTTATAAAATGGTGACGAACACGTACTTCAGTTGATAACAAACACCACTATGAAACAGAATGGTGATTGTTTATCTGTCCGACGGAAAAATTAAATGTCAATAAAAGGCATTCTCTGTTACATTGAAAACCTCTTTACCCTTTTCTATGAAAATATTGACAATTTTTTGAAAATATCATTGAATAGCAATTACATGAAAGTTAATCTTCAAAATTATTGGTATAATCGATAATTTTATATACCAACATAACATGGTATGGACTTGGATAAGTACAGGAAAAGACAACATAACAAATTCAATTGTTCATATGTTACATGCTTATACTTTATACAACATGAAGTATGATTTAAAAGGATCTAATATCTCTCTCTCTCTCCCAACGAAACAGTACATATGAATTGATCTCTTCTCCATGGTTTGTGGTGATTTTGTTTAATAATTCCAAGAATGATTAATAGTTTTCAGTATCAAAGTGTCTTAAATCTTTCTAGATTAAAAATGCATTCAGTAAATACCGAAGGAGAATCCATTGACAAGCATTTTTCTGTTTGTTTAAACCAAAGCAATAGATGCGGCATATCCCTGATATATATTTCAGCACACACACACACACAGAGAGAGAGAGAGAGAGAGAGAGAGAGAGACAGAGTCAATGTATCATATATATGCTTGAGGTTATTATAACTGAGATGGGGACACATTGTTGGTTATCATCCTCATACACGCACGACTAAGAAAAATTAATATTTATTACTCGTATTTACATTTTTACATACATGAGAAATTAATATCAATTTAACAATTTATTTAAAAAATATTAATTTAACATTTTATTTAACAATCTTCTATACGTTATTTAAACAATCTTCTGTAGATAATTCAAAATTCAGCAGTGACAAAACACGTTAAAAAGAAAGGCAATAGAAAAAAGATGCGATTTGGTATTTGTCTGTAATTGTTTCAAGACATTGATGATGTGCGAAAAGGTTTATAGATTTATCACCTTGTAAATGCGTCGTCAGACACCGTAGTCACGCGACCTGTCATGGAGACTCGTTAATCAGCACTAGTAATTATGAACGGATATTTGTTCTGTGCCATCTTTTCTTTGGCTTTATGTTAGTCCTGACCTACGCGAAATGCTCATTATGTTCGTAGTGGTACCTGCACTTTTTGATTTCAACATTTTATTAAAATTAATCAATGATGATTTTTTAGGGAAGTGTCTATATGCTATACAATTAATATTATATCAGGTGTAATGTATGAGGGATATCATTTTTACTACTATTTTATTACAGAAATTAAATATATATATACTTTTCATGCATAAATGCAATAAAATATGTAATTATACGATCCAAAAAATATTGCAAATCGTACGTACCAATTTTTTAAAAACATTTTTAAACTATACACCTAAGGGATTATTCACTCATGAATAATTTATTAATTTGCTATATTTAATTTCTTCAAGTAAAAATATACATTCAGCTATAGCAGATCTTCCGAAGAGATGTGTCTTGTTCACAGCTGATATTATATAGGCGAGAGGGCAAAGACTAAACAATGAACTAAATTGTCTCCGCTTTTTTATTTACAAAAGAAAGGCTGGCTTAATAATAAGATTACTTTTGTAAATATACACCTAAATTGAGATATGATTATAAGTAAAATAATAAAGAAATGAGTTGTTAGGCTTACCTCTTTACTACAGGAATTTACAAATCCAAATGTCATCCGTGTTTTGCAAGATGCTGTTATTCAATAAATTGCAGGTGAGAAAACGTCCGCGAGATGTAATAATATAATTGGTCTTGCTGATAAATTGCCTTTTCTACTCCTTTAATCACACGTTGTTTAAGCATTTCTCATACTAAGTGAAGTCTTTTCTACAATATGTTATTTTTCTTTATCATTATTATTTTTGACGGCGTTGCTATGTATGCGTTTTTTTTTCTGCACACTGAATTTAAAGACACGGTACTTTTTTTCTGACATTAGCATGATTTTTCGCTTTATAAATGATAACTTCTCACTTTGCACACTTAAAAAAACTGTACAGTGTCCTTTGTCGAAACCTAAACATACATTGGAGAAATGAATAAATCGAGTTTTATATACGCTGTGCGGTTTGCCGCGCAGTCTAAACCAATAGGATTTGATAAAAGGTTTTTATAAATTTCCTTAGTATAAACCATAAAATATCTATACTGATATATAGCTTATCAATACCTATCAGCATTACATGTCATCTAAGCTGTTGTGAAAGTAAGTGATGAAGATGTATTGGAATATGGTAAAAACACAGAAGGAATATTGTTCTCCATAACAATCAGCGATATCAAAGGCTTTCCGATTTGTTTTGAACAAAGCCCTGATAATAATGAGCCTCAGTGGTATGGTTCAGAAGGTGTTAGATTAATAAAAGATCTTCAGCATATCTCATTAATCATCCTTCCTTATGTTTCAATAGAACAAAGCATAAAGCAAGAAAATAAAGGTGAGTGAGTATTTGGCTTAAGTCTTTTCGCCTTTATTTTCTTTTACAGGCTTTTGTTCTGTGATGTCTCGGATGTTACATTCTTCGTCTCCGTTCAGCGATTTTTCCATCTTATACACATTTATTCCTGTGTTCGAGAAACAAACTGAGGTGAATACATAAAGGAAATTATGATGAAAGAGGAAGACGACATTACAAATGACAATGAAAAATTCGGCTGCCATTTAAAAAAATGTTTGGAATTTATTAAAACAGATTTCTTTTAACTATATATGAAAGTTTACATCAAAATGCTTTAATTTATTAGGCTCTAGTTTATTTTCCCTCATATTTTCATTTGTGTATTACATTCCTTTTGCCGCCTTCTTAAAACCTTTAGTTTCATATGGTGTTTCCTCCTTTACATCAGAAAAAACTCAAATGTCTAGGAGATTTGGGAGGGGGCATAAGGGATTTTGAAATGATTTTTTTAATCATGCTTATGTTGCAAAATTACATTAGTGCAGCAACAATTTGTATGACTATCCTGATTCAATACACCAGTCATCTGATATGATCAATAGTCATAAATTCAAAGCGTAGACTTTACATAAAATTGATCGCATAACTTATGAATTATGAAACTTAAAAATATATCATTTTTGGGAGTTGATTTTATCAACTCTCTATGCACTTCCCCAGAACAAACAGTGATTCGACCTAATCACTTCTCCCAGAGAAAAATCGTCAATGTAAAATCATCTCCGCTGACAAGAAATAGTACATCAGAATGATCAAGAAATTTAATGAAATACACAATCAGAACACACTCTTTATCGACAAAATTGTTTTTTTCAGTTTCAATACATTGGAAACATTTCATGCTACGACTAACTCTAAATAACAGTATTTGCAGTTGTATTTTTCCCACACTCAACCACAGTGCGGAAGGTTTCAGTAATCGGTTCAGCCTCTGATACGCGTGATGTAAAGACAATGTGGTCAGTAATGTAAAGAGTCCTTTGCTGGCTGCGCTGATTGGCTGATAAAAACTCTCACTGACTTAGATTTTTAAAAATATCCAGGAAACCAAACCAGAACCAAAGAGAATAATTTGTCTCTTTCGTTCGATAGCAGACAATATTAATAACCAGTTTAACACAATTTGCCGACAAAATTGCATTGGGACAAAAGAATTTATTCATTTAACCTGTGAAGTTTTATTTTATCATTATCAGCCAGGAAAAAATGGGAAACCATATTGATGACGTGATCTCTGTTTATATGTACATGACAACACCGTTCATCAAAATCAAAAACCGATGCATTATATTTTGTATCTTAGTGTAGTCTACTTATGTGCCAAGTTATATTGAAATCGGACCAAAACTGTAGGAGGAATAGCGTTTTGAATAATTGTTTACAGACAGACAGACGGACGGACGGACACCTTACTATTGCATAAGCTCTTCTGGTCTCTGACCTGTAGAGCTAAAAAAAAAACACCTACAAGATAATAAGGGTATAGTTAAATGCCATTACAAGTACATATGTATAATAATCAGTAGGCTGGAGAATTGCTATCGTTCTCGATGCAACAGAACCAGAATTTACGCCCTTTTAAAATAAATCGGTACAAAAAAATTAAACTGACAAAAGAATTGATTTTGCATTTTAAAAATATATTAACGCTCCATGCGATGATCGAACCAAAAAATTCTCGACTCCGTTAACGTTGTACTGAACGGATAACGCATATTACTGAGCTATCATCGCTACACATACAAGCTGGATTTTAAAAGGACAATGAAACAACGCATTTAAACATTGGAATTTTTTTAAGGAAAAACTTCGTTTTTTATGGTCTCTGGGTCTTCTCTCCATTTTTAACAAATGATTGTTTGTTTCTTGGAATTAGATTTCATACAAATAATTTTTTTGAAAATTATGGAGAGATGACCCAGAGATGGGAAAATTTTAGAAAAATGTGTTTTAAAATTTGACATTTTGTACCAAATGAATTTTCAAATTATTTTATAGCAAATCAAAAAACAATATCGGGAAAATATTCCCCTTTCCTATTTCACAGAAACCCTTTATATCAAAAGAATGGTAAAACTTCATGTGATAAAACAATGAAATTTTCACTTTTCAAGTGCGCCCAGATTCCTGCTGAATGCCAAACAAAAGCGCCCTCTTTCTTTGCAGCCTTCCAACGGCAAGTGGTGGCGTCTCGGTATAAGTGAAAAATTCTCGAGGAGACATTAAACAAACAAACAAGCAAACGCTCGAACATATATGTGCAACCTTTTCTCTTGACAACTTACAATGTAGAAATATTCTAGAATGACCCGATCCACAAATTATTATTTTGTACATGAAGATTTAGCGTCAACTCAGTTAGTGTCCGCTGGCTTTCAATGTTTGCATTTGCGATCGGTTTTATAATTGATCATTTGTTTTGATAGCAAAATACGTTGTATTTCTCATCCTTTTCCACAACCCATCAATAGAAGCTATATATTGACAGTGTCATCTATTAGATGTTTAAGATGCATAGGCATGCGTAGCAGATCATCGATCGCTTGCGCAGATCCTGGAATTTTATAGCGGGGGGAGGGGGGTCTCGGTCACATACACACATATTTTTCACGAACAATTTCGTGGTGGGGGGAAATTTCGCTTTTCTTCAAATTATGTATAATTAGGCTAGGACTCTACCATTTTACCGGAATCCATTTTTTGTGAAGGGGTCCAAGGTCATTTTTGGCTACTTTACTATAAATTTAATAACTATCCAGGAAGGGAGGGGTTCTAGACCCCTGTACCCCTCTTAATCTGTGCGTGGATTGCGTTGTTGAATACCCATCGCTGAGCTTGTCCTTTACTTATCACACAAGTGACATGGTTATCCAAAATGCATTGAATGCAACTATTTTTTTTTTTTTACATCATTTGATACAGGTACAGAGATAATGATTGAGAATTTTCTTGGTTCTGTTCAGCTTTAACTTTGAACATTTGAAAATTTTCTTATTATTAAAGTTATGATGAAAAAATTACATTTTATCAGTATATAAATCAATCTAAAATATTTAAGCGGTAATTTCCGATTACGGTGCAGAAAAGTCAATTAAAAAATGCTTGAAAAACGTTTATGTGTTTCATAATACTCTTTACCAGTATTAAATAATGGTTTTTTACCAGTATTGAATAATGGTTATTGCCACATCTGTCATTTACGATTACATGTGCATCACTCAAATCTTGGAAAATCCCGCATGAACACACTACGCGTATAAGGATCATTTGGAAAATTCTCTAAAAAAATGTTTAATGATTGTCACAGTAAATAATAAAAATAATCCTAATACAAAACCAAACCATAATTTAATTATACATTATAAGTGAATATAAGAACAAACCTGTATTTGCTTATAACATCCAACATTGAGCCTATACATACAAGCTTACGCAGGCAATCAGATTTTGGAACGCAGTTCGCAATTCAAAAGTGAACTGCATTCCAGAACGCAGTTCGCAATTAAAATTTAAACATAAATCATGGGGTCTGAAATTTTGAGGGTAGGGTACTAGTTGTCAGTTACTACTTCTATGAAAAGATGGTGATGGTACATGTACCATCTCTAGTTTCCGAGATATAGCCCTCCAGTTTTCAGGCCTACTATTTAATACTATATGAATAAACATCGGGTTCGGGGACATCGAAGTCCCCTGTCCCCGGGTCTGAAATTTTGAGGATAGGCTACAAGTGGTCAGTTACCACTTCTGTGAAAAAATGGTGATGTTACCATCTCTAGTTTCCGAGATATAGCCCTCCAGTTTTTAGGCCTACTATTAATACTATATGAATAAACATCGGGTTCGGGGACATCGAAGTCCTCTGTCCCCGGGTCTGAAATTTTGAGGGTAGGCTACTAGTGGTCAGTTACCACTTCTTTGTAAATATGGTGATGGTACCATCTCTAGTTTCCGAGATATAGCCCTCCAGTTTTTAGGCCTACTATTTAATACTATATGAATAAACATCGGGTTCGGGGACATCGAAGTCCCCTGTCCCCGGGTCTGAAATTTTGAGGGTAGGCTACTAGTGGTCAGTTACCACTTCTGTGAAAATATGGTGATGGTACCATCTCTAGTTTCCGAGATATAGCCCTCCAGTTTTTAGGCCTACTATTTAATACTATATGAATAAACATCGGGTTCGGGGACATCGAAGTCCCCTGTCCCCGGGTCTGATATTTTGGGAGTGGGGTACTAGTGGTCAGTTGCCACTTCTGTGAAAAGATGGTGATGGTACCATCTCTAGTTTCCGAGATATAGCCCTCCAGTTTTTAGG